AAGCAGTGGTATCAACGCAGAGTACTGGGTGAAAAGTCCACAATATTGGCCCGTATTGAGCATAATCCTGCACCTCACCTTAATCTCGATCTTAAACTCCTCTGCACCAACATATGTTTGCCGCCTGAAAAGAAAAGAAGGCGAGAAATGAGAAGAAAAACAAAAAAATCTCACCTATCCAGCCTAAATCGAGTACGACCCAGTGACATACGACGTGCGCGGCGCAATGGCCGTACGCACGTCCAACTCTCGCGATCCTGCAGGCCCCTATACACAGATTGAGAAGACTTTTAGAAGTCAGTTGAAGATACATGGCAGTAATTTGTTAATAGAAATCAGCAAGACTTTAGCGCTTACCTCTTCGCACTACTATCTTGGAAGCAAATAAAAATGATTGAAAAATTCAACATTGTCACAATTAAAAAGACCAAAACAAGGCAAGAACTTTTGAGATTTGAGCAGAGAATCATGAACAACAGCAAAAGTGGCACTATCCTACCTCATTGTTTTGAATGAATTCCACTAGTATATTGAGTGCCTTCTCGTAATCTTTTAAGACATGATATGCCGTGACGTAAGCAACCAAGACACTTTCTGCGTTGGCCGAAGTCACAGCAAATGATGATGGATTCCTAAGTGATTACAATGAAAGTCTCCTGGACTGAGCAAGAAAAACCAACTTTGCGCCCTTCACAGCCCCTCATATGTATCTGGAGTAATGAGAGATCTCTCAAAATCTGCATGTTGTCTTTGTCAAGAATTAAAGCTCGCTTGTATGCCTAAACCGGACAGATATCCATAAAATCAATAAAACAGAAAAAAGGGAATAGCTTGATTGCCTCGTCGTAGTTTTTGTCTGACCTTTGAACAAGCCCGTATACATGCCAGCAAACATAAGATTTCAAATCAGCCTAAATACAGGAATGATGAGTGAAACACTATACAAGGAACTAAAAAGGACTCCTAACCTTCAAACCTCTTTTCACACATTCCTGTGCTTCTTGTTGCTTACCCATGTTAAGAATGAGCCCCTTTATTGCTAAGGTTTCTGTTATGCGTATCATGCGAGCATAAAATCAAAGTCAAAAAAAGGATCCACCTCCATGTTCAGCGAAATTCGGATTACTCAAAATTGTCCTCGCATACTTTAGTCCAAAGCGATATTTCTTTTGTTCGTATGATTTCTGCAATCAGAAGCAAAAGACTCGGATGGGAAAAAAATTTAGTGAGGCTATTACTTAGAAATAGCTCATAAAATACTCACTATCATTTTTTGAACAGGCCCAACTCCTTTGATGGCAAAGGCTAAATACTTCACTGACCCGGGGGAGTCATCCCTAAAACCGAAACAAATGCTCGATAATGACATGTAAGTGAATTCGCTATCCGCGGTAGAAAAGCACAGACACTTTTGAATAAAATAAAAATCTAGCACGAAAATAGATATTAGGTAAAAGTACACATCAAGATTTTGAGAAGAAAAGTCTAAACGCAACCTTCATTGCGAGAAATGCAAGAAAATATGACGAATAGTTCGCCGAATAGTTCGAATAGTTAGCCTTTAAGAACGTCTCAAAATCTCACAGCGTGGCTACGCGCCAAATCGATACGCAGCCTGCTCCGGGACCCTCCCATTTCTGCTCCGGATACCTCCCATTTTCTGCTCCGGATACCTCCCATTTTCTGCTCCGGATACCTCCCATTTTCTGCTCCGGATACCTCCCATTTTCTGCTCCGGAGGCCTCCCATTTCTGCTCCGGACCCCTCCGATTTTCTCCGGCGCGGCTCTTCCAAATCTGGCGGACTCGCGCCGGAGAAATGGCGTACCTTTGCAGCAGGGCCGGAGAAGCCTCCCACTTGCCTGCCAGTGATGTCACCGCGACGGACCGCCCATTTGCCCCTCTCTCATTGGTCAACTGGGTCTAGCGCGACTCTGGCAGATTCGGACTGTCCGGCGGAGGGGTCCGGTCGATTGTCTGAGAACTCAGACAGCGGATAGGACCCCTCCGCCGGAGAAATGGCAGGGCCGCGGGGTTTCCCCAGCGGTGGGTCCGCCACTCGTCCGCCGGAGCCCTCCCATTTCTGCTCCGGAGACCTCCCATTTCTGCTCCGGAGACCTCCCATTTTCTGCTCCGGATACCTCCCATTTTCTGCTCCGGAGACCTCCCATTTTCTGCTCCTGAGACCTCCCATTTTCTGCTCCGGAGACCTCCCATTTTCTGCTCCGGAGCCCTGCCATTTTCTGCTCCGCAAGTCTGCCGCGGCATACTGTAATTAGCCCTAATTAAGCTCCAAACCCCAATTATGTCTCTAGACCCCACCCAAATTAGCCGAATACGACCCCCCCCCCCCGGGTAAGAGTTCAGCGCGACCCTCAACCCCGTTCTTTACCCCCTCCCTCTCACCCCTAGCGTTTGTGGATAGAAGATAGAAGAATGAAGAAACAAGACATTTATTTCAAATTAACTGCAAACAATCTCCGGCAAATTGCAAAACAAAACTTAGCAGCTACAAAACGGACAACAAAGCAGTAAAGCAGTAAAGCGATAAGGTACGTCTGGTTCTGACTACGAGCATTTTCAAGACGGCAAGAAACCTCTGAAAATCGGATGAAGAGCAAAGAATACCAAACACATGAGCACACAGAAAATCCCCTACCGCTGAATATTGGATAGTGAGATGAGGGTACGAGTTGGCAAGGTTCTGACAAACAGCCTGCTGATCCATAGGGAAACAATGGCTGTGCGAATTTGTAACTACTGGCGATTTCAACTGCACAGCTGGAAAAGACGCCATGTTTCCTTCGGTAGACGCCTTTTAAAAAAGGAAGACTCACTTGTAAAGAAATTGTCTCTTGAGAATCTCAATCATATGGACTGCAGCATCTGTGACAACCGCGATATAAATTCGCACGGAAAATCTCGGCGAGAGAGAACACGACTGTATTATAGATCCCAACTGGTCATCGACTTGGAACAGTAGTCAAAACCAGGCGTAGAGGGATTGCGCAGCTGCTGTGACTGCACAAACTTCGCTAAAAATGTCTCGCTGAGGTTGTCCTTCAGAAAGGATGGAAATCAAGTGGTGAGCACTTGCATATGCTAAAACTGAGAATTCAAAAAAGTACTCAAAGTTGAAGTTCAGTAATCATAATGAACCAATCACGATCAAAATTGGGATTTCTATGTTTTTGAGGTCCTCCATTTCATTAACAAAGTCTGTTTTGCGTAAAAGGCCAGGACACAATTACGAACAAACTTTAAACATCAGAATTTAGCGGTTTGAACTGGAGACGCCTGTTCTCAAACTTACATCAGTGGGATAAAACTAGAGACTTGCCTGTATTTGAACACGGTGCATGTACTCGATTACATGTTTTCCCTTTTCCGCGTTGCAAGGTCATGACCTCATAAAGGTTTCCTTCGAGCAGAATGCCGCAGGCACATTAAGGTTCTAACCTACATCTTGGCTACAAGCTATATACCTGTTGGCGCGACCTTGTCAGTCACATATCCATACATGATTAGTGATGTCGTATAAAATGTCTATGTGTACTGGCATGAACTCGTTATCTAACCATTCACTTTGAACATATTACTGAACTTGAACTTAGATTTTGAAAAGTTGTTTGAAAAAAGTGCTTTTTGTGCTTTGTTTTGCGAACAATCATAGCTATGCAGAAGAACAACCTCGAACACATAGAAAATTTTGATCGTGATTGGTTCATCACGATTACTGAACTTCAACTTTGAGTACTTTTTTGAATTTCATTTTCAGCATATGCAAGTGCGCACCACTTGATTTCCATCCTTTCTGAAGGACAACCTCAGCGAGACATTTTTAGCGAAGTTTGTGCAGTCACAGCAGCTGCGCAATCCCTCTACGCCTGGTTTTGACTACTGTTCCAAGTCGATGACCAGTTGGGATCTATAATACAATGAGAACACGAGCACGAGAGCTCGAAAGCATTTCGCAGCAACAGCACTTGGCTGACTATAGCACTAAGACATTAACCAGTCTAGCAGGTGGCTCGATTGCGTGATATTCCGTACTACTTCAGATACTCTTAAATAAGACGATTCAGTTGAAAAACACTTTCACCATCGAAGAGATATAACCAATTTCAAACAAGACAGAGCATATAATGAAAGATAAACAAGAGAAAAAGGACCATAAAAGTGATTTCCAACATAAACATACCGTAGTATTCGCACTTGACACAAGTTTTTCCAACCAGCCATATAAATAACCATCTTCACCAATAGATTTCTGAGCTTCAAATATTCTACCACAGCTGAGTAGACGTGTCATAGCTAAGGCCGCCTTTTGCTCCACGTATGAACCAACCTTAATGAAAAAGATTAAATAAACAGCGATGCATAGAACAGCAACATGAAAACATACATCATTTCCCCATTCTTTTTATCTGCTGCTATCGTTCTGCTGCACCAGCCGATGAATAGATAAAATAGGCTTTGCTTCTTTTTCATCCGGAATGAGACTGCCACGATTTTCTGGACTAACATTATCAATGATCACAGCAATAAGTTTGGAATAGTGTAGCCGCATCATCGTCACCACTGCTATGTCACGATCCTGATATAATCTTGCTTGTTATCAAGGACTACATTTCAACGTAAAAACTGCATACCAAATCGCTTTCGAGGTTTTCTCTCATCGAGTCGATGAAATCGAGTATGAGTGGACTCAGACTGCCCAAACTATCTACCATTGCGGAATCCAATAATCCACGAAATACAGCCACCTGATAAGGTATCGATATTGAGGGGTACGAAAAAGTTTAGATATACCTACCAAATACCGCTAAATCCACTGCACCTAAAAAAGCAAGCTTTCTGACTGAAATGGGAAGAAAACATTTGGACTTTACTCGAATTATATACTTTCGAAAATTGTTGTTGTTTCGAAAATCCAGAATTAATCACAAAAACTACTCCATCAGTAGTCAACGATGTCTCAGCAAGTCGAAAGGAGCCAAACACTGAAAGTGATTGAGTGCATCCGCACGAAAATTTGAAACATAAACCTGAAAACGAGGAACTTACAACAACATAAACGCCAACGCGACGAAGAGCAACGCGGAAAAGAAAAAAAAACGGTAAGAAACGCGGAGAAACAACAAAATCGAAAAAAACGACTAAAATATGAAGAAAAAGGGTAAACAGAGGACTCATCACCGTGGAGTTAGACGTTTGCTTGCTACGCGCCAAATCGATACGCAGCCTGCTCCGGATACCTCCCATTTTCTGCTCCGGAGACCTCCCATTTTGTGCTCCGGAGCTCTCCCATTTCTGCTCCGGAAACCTCCCATTTTCTGCTCCGGATACCTCCCATTTCTGCTCCGGATACCTCCCATTTTCTGCTCCGGATACCTCCCAGTTTCTGCTCCGGAGGCCTCCCATTTCTGCTCCGGACCCCTCCGATTTTCTCCGGCGCGGCTCTTCCAAATCTGGCGGACTCGCGCCGGAGAAAAGGCGTACCTTTGCAGCAGGGCCGGAGAAGCCTCCCACTTGCCTGCCAGTGATGTCACCGCGACGGACCGCCCATTTGCCCCTCTCTCATTGGTCAACTGGGTCCGGCGCGACTCTGGCAGATTCGGACTGTCCGGCGGAGGGGTCCGGTCGATTGTCTGAGAAACTGGTGGCCTCCTTCGTTCTACCCCCGTGAAAGTGCTATCAAGCCCCCCCCCACCTTTTTAGAGTTGCTGTGCTTCAGGATAGGGCTCCCAGAAATCGCGTTCTTGAGGTTTTGCACATTTTGCGTTCCCCATCTGCAGTCAGGGCCCCAAAATGACAAAAATATGGAAAACGTGGATGCTGCCTTCAAAGATACGTCGTTTCATCTATGCACTTGTGAACTTATGGAACAAGAACCGTTGATGTGTTCCATATTTTCAAGCTCAAATCAGGTAGGAATTTCCGCAAATCTCAGAGATGCAATTACCAGTAAAACTGGGATCGTTTGAAAAGTTGATGGGACGACGACTAGTGCAATCTACAGGGTGTCCCAAAAAGATGTGCACACTATTTGATTGTAAATAACTCTCTCGTGGTGAAGTGTTTCGAGAAGCTTTAGGTACCATTTTGTAGAGCGAGGTTCAACTTAGATTTACAGTGTAGAGCGGATCGCCGATCTCTCATTCTTACTGTAGGATTACGGTAGAAACTTTGAAGAGGGTTTTGAGCCATGAAAGGTCATATTTTGTTCCAAAAAGAAACCCAAACAACCTGAAAACTCTCACACTGGGCTAACTAGAGTTGCTGATTCTAGATGTGAAGTTCGCAACTCTTCCTAACGCTTCATTAAAAAATTATGCGAGGTAAGCAGTAGCAGACGTTTTTTAAGTGTTCCTCAAAAGTGCGGTTACACCGTTTAGTAACTTCTCAACCTTGTAAAGAGTTGGGTATTGAACTCAGGGTCCATAAAAACCCTATTACACAAATTTCCACATTTTTAAAAAAAAATTTTGAAACGGCCCGTTCTTCACAGTGACACCATATGTTTGAAGTTTCTACCGTACTCCTACAGTAAGAATGAACGACCGGCGATTCGCTCTACACTGTAAATCTAAGTTGAACCTCGCTCTACAAAATGGTACCTAAAGCTTCTCGAAACACTTCACTACGAGAGAGTTATTTACAATCAAACAGTGTGCACATCTTTTTGGGACACCCTGTATACTCGTAGATATGAGAAAGTACAAATTAAAACCCTTATTTTTCCTACAATGGACGGAGAGAGGGGAGGGGAATGGAAACTCAATTTCCCCTTGCAGCAGTTATTGCATTGGCACCCATTCTGGGGGCGGAAAAAAAACGAAAATTTGTTTTTGCGCGGTAAGCCAAGAGGTACACGCGGGGACTACCATGTCACAGAACTAGTCGTGAGTGTGCACGTACAGCCCCACTACTATAGAAGAAATGCTGCTCGTAGAATGCGTGGGTAAACGGAGCGCACTGCGGCACAGTCCGGATTTCCGCGCTCTCAACCGGATGTTCAACAAACGGGGACGAGAACCCGGAAAGAAGGGGTGCTCCATGATTTCATGCATGTAAGTGAGGGGGGGGGGGGGGGGAGGAGGAGAAGGGAGAGAAAGATCAATGTCTATTTCTGCAACTGGCAGAATCGTAACATGCTTTCACTTTCTTATAGCATTCTTAGCATTTCCTAGATGACTGATGTTTGGAATTTTATCATAATTGTCTTAGTCAATCAAAGCCGCGACAAAGCATTGTTGACACACTCACCCAAACATATGGAAAGACTGCTATCTATGTAGAGGTTATAAAGTCAAACTCTGTATAAATGCTCGTGGTTCTGTATACGCTTTGCCTATCAGCACATCAGCCAATAAACCCCGTCCAAGTCCTTTGAAAGTCCAAACAAGTGGCGACCACGGCAACCGAGGACCTCCCACTTCTTCACTTCAGGACGAAAAAGTACGTTGAATAAGCCTTGATCCTACCCATACTTAGGAACGATGTCGACGAATGATAGTGCCCGCATAAGGCGTCAAATCGGCTTTTTTAAGGAACAAATCCAACGGCTTTTCTCAGCAGCGCAGCTTTCTCTCACAGAATACGATATCCATATCACCACACCAAACTTTTAAAAACTAGATGATGATGAACTCGAAACTCTACGCCTTGAAATCACTTCCGCTCGCTCCAATCTACTTAAGTCCTACTCCAAACTCACAAAATTGCATAGTGAATGGACTCTCCTTCTACAATCGATTCCAAGCGAGCAACAAATTTTTGACGATTATCTCGAGAAATGTGGTGATTATCGTACCATCATTGATGAAGCCGTCAAACAACTAAAAAATATGGACACACTTTTGAACTCCATCTCAGACAATCGCCGGGGGCAGGCGGGCACCGGAAAGATAGTTTGCTGATATCTCGCACCCCGCTCGCGGAATTTTTGCAAAGCAATAAGGACTTTTCGGAAGCCCGCTTGCTGAATTCTCGATTCCTCAGAGATTCAGCAATATATCTGCAAAAGATAAGAGCGAAAAAAATTCAACAGGCGGTCTCTCATAAATCCGCTGACTCAGCGAGCGGTCTTCCGAAAAGTCCTGATTGCTTCGCAAAAAATCCGCGAGCGGGGTGCGAGAAATCAGCAATCTATTTTTCCGGTGCCCGCCTGCCCCCAGCGATTGTCTGAGATTGACCAAGAATATTCCCAACGACATCTCTCGATCTCCTCCGCATCTTCTGAGACCAATACTCAAGATGAAGACCGTACTCAACCACCACGAAGCAGTTTGATGACCAACACTCAAATACCATCCGCGTCCCAGCCTTTCATGGTCAACTCTTCCACAGTCAATCCCCTCATGACTAATAGTCTCGCGACGAACGCTTCTTTGATGAATTTTGTCGATGCGTCCATTTTGAGTAAGCTAGAGCTGCCCACATTTGACGGCAATCTTTTGGAATATCCAGAATTTGCGTCAAGATTTGCCACACTCGTCGGAGACAAAACCCAGCTAGACGATACCACGAAATTTTCACTCCTCAAGTCATGTTTGCGCGGTCGCGCTTTACAAACCATTTAAGGCTTATCTATGACTCCAGAGAACTATAGAATCGCAATGGACATTTTGAAAACACACTTTGACGACAAAGTCACAATGAGACATCTTCTCTACACGAAGCTTGCCCAACTCCCAAATTGCGACCCCGAAGGCCGAAACCTCCTAGCACTCTACAATCGCATGTTTGCGCTGATACGACAATTCTCCGTCAACAATGACGATTCTCAAGAAACAGCACTTGGTGCCATACTACTGAACAAATTACCAGCCAGCGTTCGAAGCAGAATCTACGACAAAACAGCGAATGATCACAACCTTTCCCCAATCGAACTTCTCCATCTGCTCACCGACATCGTACGTAAGGATACCACCCTATACGAGATGAACTTTCATAGCAAAACGTCCAACACGGAACAAAGCCCGTACGTCAGCTTCAACGCCACTTCTAAATACCAGAAAAACACAAAAAGATCTCGCACACAACAGCAAATGAAACCATGCCCTTACTGCGAGCAAGTCAACCACTCCGCAGTCTCCTGCGACGTATTCCCGACTCCATACCACCGCAATCGCCGAGCAAAAGAACAACGCCTGTGTTACAATTGCCTATCTAAATATCATTCAACAAAGGAATGCACGTCGAAACGAAGCTGCAAATACTGCAAACAACGTCATCACACATCCATGTGCTTTTCCCAGCCTCAGCAACAACTTCAACAACAACCACAAACAAACACGAGGAATCGCCGAAATGACAAGCCGCATAAACCACGAACGTATCCTGAGCGGCAGCATTGCGCAAATGTCACCGTTGAAGAAGCCCCCACATCTACTCCTGTGCTAGAGAGCAGTGAAAATACGACCCCAACAACAATCACTTGCAGCTCCACATCGCCTCCAGATCAACAGCCCAAACCCAGAGTGGCGCTCATGTGTGCTACCGTCAACCTCTACAATCCATCAAATGCTTCTCTTCGAGTACAAACAACAGCATTTCTCGATTCCGGCTCAAGTCATTCCTATATCACTGATAATATAGCGGAGATTTTACAACTACCTACGCTTTCAACCGAGACGATCTCCGTTTCTACCTTCGGAAGCAAAAACCTCCTTCGACTGAGGTCAAGAAACCACAAAATCGGCATCAGTACCAACCAAGGAGAAAAAGTACTTGAAGTGAAGTCTCTGCCGACAATCACAGGAAGCTTCGCACAGATCCAGCATACTCAAGGTATCCAAACCACAGAGTTTGTGATTTCAGATTGCAAGCCATCACTTCTCTCGGCAATGATTACTTTTGGGAAATGATCCTGTCAGATGACTTCTACGTGAAAATCCTGACCTCCGGATGCCGCCTACTTCACACCAATCTGGGCAACATCCTCACAGGCAAGCTGCTGAATCTAAAAGACTCCGATAGATGCACAAGTCTTTGCGCTCGTAACGATATTTCCAATCCTATCCACCACGACAAGCTCACGGAACTTGTCAGCAGATTTTGGAATCTGGAGTCAATAGGCATTACAGACGATCCTACGCAGAAAGATGATGACATATGCCTAAGATATTTCAATGATACAGTCTCTTTCGATTCAAAGGAACAACGATACATTGTCAAACTTCCGTTCAAATCCGATCCATCTACACTACCGGATAACTACACCATAGCATACTCCAGATTGAGCAGCTTAGTCAAATGCTTGAGCAAAAATCCAGGCTATATGGAGGAATATAACAAGATCTTCAAGGAGCAACTCGAACGAGGAATCATTGAAAACGTCCCAAAAATGGATTCGCCGAAGCTTTCCCATTACCTTTTACACCACGGCGTAATCAAACAAACGAGCGACAAATTGAAAATTCGCTGTGTATTTGACGGATCAGCAAAACTGAAGGGAAGTCCAAGCATGAACGAGATTCTGTACCGAAGACCCGTACTACTTCCAGACCTAACAGGTATCCTGATTCGCTGCCGGTTTCCGAAGATTTTGATCACCAGTGACGTTGAAAAAGCATTCCTAATGGTAGGCCTTCATCCCGATTGCAGAGATTATACTCGCTTCTTATGGCTACACGATGTGTCCAAACCATTCTCGTCTAGAATGTAATCACTTATAGAACGCGAGTCTTGTTCCTCATTTGTTCTCCATTCCTTCTTTCCGGCACCATTCACCATCATCTAACTGCAGTGTCAACTCCTTATCGCAAGACCTCCTAAGAAACACATACGTAGATAACGTATTCCATGGAGTCACAAGCATCGAAGAAGGTATGACTTACTACAACGACTCCAGAAAACTTTTCGTTCAAGCAGGAATAAATCTACGAACATACGTCAGTAACTCTTCTGCACTCAACGAGTTCTTCATAACCAAAGAAAAAAACCAAATCGCAGCAGTACAAAAACTCCTTGGCATCCACTGGGATATTTCCACCGATGAAATATTCATCACTCTCCCCCAAAGGCCTGCAGAAGGAATTACCTGGACCAAAAGAAAAATCCTGAAAGAAATAGCCAGCATCTACGACCCCCTAGGTTCCATCACTCCTGTCACACTCCTCGGAAAACTATTCCTCCAGTCTCTCTGGGAGATAGAACTCAAATGGGACCATTCATTACCAGGAGAAAAGGTTGATGAATGGAAAGAACTTACTGGTCAATGGACATCACCTACATTAAAGCTGAAACGCAGACTACTCGAAAACTGTGACGATTCAACCATGCACTTCGATCTTCATGTATTCACCGACGCTTCAAAAAACGCCTTTTGTGCAACAGCGTATCTTGTTCAAATCTTCGCGAAGCCTCCACACAAAGTATCTTTCATCATGTCAAAGTCGCGCCTGGCTCCTCTGCGTCAGTCGGTTACCATACCACGACTGGAACTATCCGCCCTTATCATAGGAGCTAAACTACTCAACTTCGTTGCAAAGCAGTTGGACAACCACATACGCGAGAAATTCTTATGGTCCGACAGCACGATTGCTCTAAATTGGGCACAAAGCCGGAAAGAACTCCCTGTTTTTGTACGGAACAGAACCAAAACCATTCAAGAACTGACCTCAGACGTCACACTGAAATACATTCCCACAGAATGGAACCCGGCAGATATAGCTTCTCGGGGAGCCACTATAACCGAATTGACACAATCAGCACTGTGGTGGCATGGTCCAGAAATCCTCACTCAAGATAAATCAGATTGGTTCCCATCCCCTGAAGGATTGCTAAAGGAAACCACTTCCTCACCAGGACGACAGCAACTCAAAACATCAGAGACCCAGACCCCTTTGGTGTCACTACCAACCAACATTGCACAACTCACAACAGCAGAGAAGACGAAAAGCTCACCGTCATTTGTCGAAACATCCAGATTCAGCACTTGGAACTCATTACTGCTAACAGTCGTCTTTGTCCTACGCTTTCTTGTATTGAAGTCGAGAAAAGCAGCAAAACACTTTGGAACGTCTGGAGCAGTACTTCATAACAAAGCGAAAATCATTCTATTTCGTCTCGCCCAAAATCAAAATCCACCATCAGGCGATCATATGAAACAATTACACCTGTTTAGGTGTAAGACGACGTCCTTATGGAGATCAAAAGGACGTATTGAAAATGCTCTTTTAGCAGAGGAGACCATTACGCCAACATTTCTTCCTACCAAAAACAGAATCACCGCGCTCTTCATCCTTCACACGCATACAATCAATAACCATTGCGGAGTTAACCATACTCTAACGGAACTACGACAAAAAGTATGGATTCCCAAAGGGCGCTCAGCAGTCAAGAAAGTAATCTCCGATGATTGCTTTCACTGCAAGAATCGTGCCAAACCTTTTGTACTTCCACCATTTCCTATACTACCTAAAGAAAGAGTGGTGAGACCACATTATCCTTTTGAAAATGTGGGAATGGACATTTTCGGTCCGCTCTCTTAGCGGACTAAGGATAAGATGATAGAAAAATATTGGGGACTTCTGTTTACCTGCCTAAATACACGCGCAGTTCATGTCGATGTCATCCTTGACATGACAACTCGCACGATACTACACACATTACGACGTTTCATCGCCGCCAATGGATGCCCAACTTGGATAGTGTGCGACAATGCTCAATCATTCAAATCAATTGCTGAATGTTACTCATCACTGTCCGATCAAGCTAACATTGATGAAGATGTCCTGGATTACTGCGCTCAAAAAAGGATACAGATGAAATTCATACCAAGCTTGAGCCCTTGGCAGGGTGGTGTCTATGAAAAAATGATAGACATTTTCAAGAAATCCTTTAAACATGCAATTGGAAACAACTTGCTAGATACTGAAGAGATCATAACCCTCTTGAAAGAAGCACAAGCTATCGTGAACACTCGACCATTAACCGTACATCACTGATGATCAAGACTATCTTCCCCTACGACCAATCGACTTCCTTCACCCATACGCAAAACTAGCTGGATCCTATCTAGAAGAGACATCAGATGAATGGACCCCAATCACAACAACACGAGAAACACTATTGTCGCAATGGAGAATCACCTCAAAAATGCACACTAGATTCTGGAAACGATGGAACTCTGAATACCTTACTTCTCTTCGCGAGCGATACAAAACGGAACACGAACAACCAAGATCACACGAACACAATCTACCCAACAACGGCGTACGTAATCGTTGAAGACGCAAATTTGGATAGAGGACAATGGAAAATTGGCCAGATCATTGGATCACGTGATGATTTTAAACGATCAGTACAAATACGACTACCATCTAAACGAATAATAACAAGGCCTAACAATATGATTTACAAACTGGAAATCGAATCCGCAAAACCACCTCAAACGGAACCTCCTTCAACAAACCCTGCTCCATCCCATCATCAAATGGTGACGAGATCAAAAGCCAGACAACAAGCAGCGAATGTATTACTATGTGTAACTTTGCTCTCCAGCATCCATTTCGCCAGTACCATCAATACGCGCTGCCCCGACGAGATAAACACGGAAAAAACAGTACTCTACGCAACTCACTGCGCACGAAAAGGAGTTGCAGTCGCAAAAGTACGAATAGAAAATAAGGAAAAGCTGTGCTGGTTCCCCATCTACTGCCCAAACGGAGCAATACATTTGTGGAAGAAAATGTGAGTGCCCGCAATGGTCATCGTCATGCTCCTACACCAACAGTTACCGAAAAGAAATATCCAACATCGCTTCTCTCCCTTCCGCTCTCTCGCACTACCAACCATCACACGTATGCTCCTTTGAACCATCCTCAACATGCGACCAAACACTACGCATTGGCACTTTCAATCAAGTGCAATTATTCGACAACACTACGATATTAGTTGACCATCTCGATATCAACATTCAAGATTATATTGATGAAGACGATTTCATATGCGTGGACCGCAAAGGATGGAGAAGAGATCCAACAAACGCACTTTCAGCAACTTCAACATTCTGCAAGAAACATCACTGCGAAGAAAAGGCACGATTATTTTGCATATACGACAACCCTCTCGCAACGCTTGTCGTGAATGATTCATTACACACCACGACGCCGATCGTATTGAAGGCATGGGAACAATTACAAAAACTTATTACGGACATGCAAAAACCCCTTCAACCACGCAAACTCCATTAGAAGTGGAATGTTCTCGAGGAGGAATTTCAGTGACCAGCGAAAAACAAATCGAAGCAATTGAAGTGTGCATCGCAAACTACTGCACAATTTCCACCGTAAATACATTCCAACGTATGCTCTTTCCGAATTCCTTAGTCACATATGACTATACGGCAAAAGTGCAAGCGTTCCACAAAGGCCAAAGAATTTTTGAAACCAATATAACGTGCAAAGCCTCTCCAATATGCGAAACCATACAATGCACGGCCTGTTGGGAATGGATACACAACTCACAATGCTGGAGTTATCCTAAATGGAGTTATATCGTTGTTTTCATAGCCATGGTCACAATATCAGCACCCCTCCTTTGCTGTGTCATGAAAGGAACCTACTACCTACTCATATTCTCATGTAGAATTTGGAGAAAACTGCTGAACAGCTTATGTACACTCTGTACAGGAAAGCCGAAAAACATTCTTCCGCGCAAGTACATCAGCAAACGGAGACGAAACACTAACCGCAGGCTCCTGACATGTACAGTCTTGATATTGCTACAAGCACATGGAACGCAGCAATGTTCACAATTCACCTCCATCACCGCAAAAGAAGGAATCTGTACGATACAAGACACTAAGGAAACCTGCATTTTTAATGAAGCAACGCTCATTACACTTCAACCCCTCAAACAAGAAACGTGCTTGGGACTATATGACGAAAATCATATCAACGTCGGTATTATCTCCATCACACTTGACAGCATACGATACAAATGCAACAAACGGATCGAATTCTTCTCTAGAGACCACGAACTTGTCTCGGAGTCAAGTCATCGATGCTACTCAGCAGGAAGCTGCACCGAAAACGCATGCAATAATACCAAACCAACGGACAAGCTAGAAGAATTCTCCTTCACAGCTAACAACAACCCAGGGTATACATATTGTGCTTCGAGCTGTAGATGCGTAACATGTAATAGCTGTTTTCTATGCAATCCCAGCTGTTCTCTTCTATCGTGTCTATGCCAAAACAACATCACCTTCTACCTACACTATCTTCAACTGTCCTAGTTGGGACTTTTCGGCAATAGCAAAATTTAGCCTGACCCAAGAGAACTCCGTAACATCAACTACATTACAACTCAATCCTGGACGCACTACCACCTGGAACAATTTGCGTGTCACCCTTATCGGCTCCGTGACACCGCAACTTCCAATTCTATCGTCTACATTCATCACGGATGGAAGGAAAGCCGCAATTGTTAAACCTGCCAGCAAAGGTCAATTGATTCCACACACGGTAGGACAACTCCAATGCTCCTCTATGGAAAATGCCAGAAACTTCAACTGTCAATTTTCCAGTAAGGCCTGTACTTGCACGAAAGGTTTGCTCAAAGCCTCCTGTGTATGCAGCAAAGGGGACCTCGAAAAACTCTTGCATGTGATGCCTCTACCTCAAAAAGCGAAAAATTTCACATTTACGAAGAAAACAA